CCGCGCCTTCAATCGCCGGCCCTCTTTTAGGGCGCGTCCTGACCTGAGTGTCGAAGCGGGCCCAGCCGCGGCGACGAGGGAACTGTGGGGCGAACGGCGGCATCGGCATATGTCCCTCCGTCGACTATCCCCGCGCGCGCGGCGGCCGCGAGGAGGCCCCCGTTCGCTCCACGACCCTCCTCCCTCCCTCTATTCATGCCCGCCCCCCCCCCCCCCGCGCGCCCAATCCCCCCCCCTTTCTCCTCCTCCTTCTACGACGCGCCCGACGAAGCAGGGGGGGCAAGAGGGGGGGGGGGGGGGCGGATTTTTCGAGCTGAAGCAGCTGGCAGCGCAACCGTCTGAAGTGTATATTCAAAGCCCGAATGACACTTGATATCGCGACCGTTAGACGCGCAGCCCACGCGACGCGAGGAGGCGACCGGCGCCGGCGGAGCCCTGCCGCGACGTCGCCATCGCCGACGCGGGGAACGGGACAAACCAAACGCGCTCGCGCCGCATCTGGCGCCCCACCCCTTGCCCCCACCCATTCCTATCGCGCAGGTCATTTTGCCAAATCTGGTGTCAAATCGGACCTGCGCATCTCGATGGCCCCTGCCACCCTGGCCCCGACTATCGACCGAAGGGCAAATGGGCCAGACCCGACACAGGGGGCGCGGAGGTAGGGCGGGGATGGTTGAGCAGCCGCGCAGGTTGTCCGATTCCCCGCGCGGCCGCTGTGCGATCATTGGGACTCGCGAGGGCGCCCCCGCGGCCCCTCTGGGGTCGCCGGGGCATCCCGATGCAACTCGCTCCGCGTACCAGAACCAAGAAGCCGCTGCGCTTGCTGCGCGAGCCACACCACGAGGGACCCAAAACGCCCGATGCCAAGGAGAAGTCGAAGAGCGACTTTCCGCAACGAAGTGGTATCTTCAGAGATCAGTCGCCCCCGTGGATTCTGATTGCTCCTTCCACCTGCTCCTCGAAGTCCATTGCCATTTCCTCCGCGTGGACCTCCTTCGATTCTTCCTAGTCGTCCTCGAAGATTTTTTCCTCTGCTACCGCCGCCACCATCAAACCTTGCCCCTCCTCCTAGTTCCGCGTGTCTCTGTCGCGTCCGAGTTCCGAGCTTCCCTTTGCCTCTCTGCGCGGCGAGATCGAACGTGCCGAGCGCCGCCGCAGCGCGCGCGACCCGCGCTCGCATGCGTCGCGGGATGGCCAAGGGCAACGTCGACTCCGCGACGCGGATTTCAACGCGCGCGCGTGCAATCCCACGGACGTCCGCTCGGCATTATCATGCACTCCACGAGTGCAAACTTGCTGTCGCAATGCGTTCCGCGCGAACATGCGAAGCGCAGCGAGGAGTCGCGCGCGGCCGCCAGGGGCGAGAGCAGAAACTGTGCACCCAGACAACAGCGCGCCGAGGAAGAAGCACCTGAACGCAATGCCCCTGAACTTAATGGAGACTCGCGGGCGCCGGATGTTCCGAAACCAATGGAATCAATGATGGCCGCGCAGGGCCCTGGCCCCGATCTCGGCGAAGCTAGAGTTGCGCCACTGGAGCAGAGGGCCCAGATGACAAACGCGATGCCATAGCTGAGGGAGATGATGGGGGGGGGAATGAGGCAATCCATGGGCGCCCTGTCCTGCGCGCCGCGCAATCGCCCCAGCCCCGGGCGCGTTCTGGCGCGCGCCCGCGGGGCCGAAATCTGCGTCGCATTGTCCTGGCAAAAGCAGCGCGCGACGGGGGGGGCGTTGGGGGTGGGCCGCTAGCACGGGGCGCCTTATCATAAATGAAGATGGCGTCGCCCGCGAACGCGCGCGGCCCATTGGCGGGCGGCGCCCCGTCTGTTTCAGGGCGCGATGTGCGCCTGTCTTCTGCGCGACTTACTCTGTTCTGTTTGGCGCAGTCATCGGCGGGATCTGTCGCCAATGAATGCCGCCGTGGAACTCCGGGGCTCGCTCGCGCGCCGCTCGCGTTGCCGCCTGGGGCCTTCAGCGCGCGCTGCTGGTCGGATAAAATGGCGCTGGCTAAGGGGCGCGCAACGTCCAAGCCCTTCCCTCTGGAGGAAGTAGATAGACTGGCGCGCGCGCCTCGGGGTACGATGTTACGTTTGACGGGCGCATGCGCAGGGCAGTCATCGATCGCGCGCTACGCTTGCGATCGCAAGCTCTGCCTAGACGACGACGCATGACAAGTCGCGCGGATGTCGCTCCGTCGCGACGTCGACGCTCCATTCCCCCAGAGGCATGCGCTACGCGCGCGGGGCGAAAGCACTTGCGCCGCGCGCGCTGGCGAACGCATGTTCGCGTTTAACTGGAGGGGCGGAGACGTGGGGGCACTTGTGGTAGCCCGGGAAAACAAGAGACAACTGCAACATTACACGAAGGGAATTGCGCCCCCCTGCGCGGCCCAGCCCCCAATGCACCTTTCTTGGGGCGAAGATGGGGTCGGAGCAACGCAAGCCGCAATCCCGATGGATCTTTCCCCGGCGAAGCGCCGCGGCGGCTTCTGCACCGGCCGAGAGAAGCTGCGACGCCGAAGAAGTCCACCGCGGCGTCGAACCAAGAATTCGCGGGTCGAGCTCGTGGAGGCACCCCGCCGTCTAAAGAGCCGCCCGCTGCCGCCCGCCCCGCCCCCGCGCGGGCGGCAGGTCGAGTTGCTGTAGCCAGTCCGCTTTGGAAGGCCGGGGAAGGAGAGGCGCGCGCCCCCGTTTGCGGCGCGCCTCCTTGCCGTCGCCATTCATGGGCCGCGCCGTTCGCGAAGCAGCTGCAAAATCGCGCGGCCTGTGCGCTTGCGCGGGCCCCTCGTACTTTGCACATTGTGTTTATACGCGCGCTGCTCGCGAACGACGTGGCGCATGGCTTCATGATGTAGTGATATCTGGTTCATGCCCATGCACGTGCATTTGCGCATCTGGCGCAACGCGCGCAGCGTGACCAATGGCGTGCAAACGAAGGCGCTGACACTCTTGCGATAACTCTCGCGCAAGCGCCCACTCGAAAGAAAGGGTGGCTCTACCCACCTGCTTCCTGAAGACGCCCCAGCATGCCTGATGCGCGCGCGTAAACTATCGCGCGCGCACGAAAGTGAACAAGACGACGGCGCAGTGCGCCCTGCTTCTGCATGCGCACGCACATGCGCATCAAGACGATCAAAGAAATCTGGCCGCCCAGCGCATTTTTGAAGATCTGTGGGAGCTGCGACCGGGCGCCCGATTTATGCCGGGCGCTCGGGAGTGCACTTGCCCAGTCTACCACGCAGACTGCGGAGCAATGATGTAGTCCACTATGGAGGAGGAATAAAAAAAACAAGGAAAAGCCCGGGACTCGATTTACAGTTCTAAAATCAAGACGTTCAAGTAATGGGCGAAGTTGCATGCCGTTCCCATTTTCGTCCAGTGCCCCCGCGTGCCCGATCAATTCCGATTTATTGTAATGGAATCCCATAAGACACAATGCCATCCCCATGTTGGTGTTTGCAGTTGTACAAACGACGGCAATCATTCCAACCATTGCAGCAGCTTGAAAGTGATCTTCGACGGCTCAGCTTTAGCTGATGGAGGGGTGTCGACCGAGAGGATGGCTAGATCCGCTGTGATAGCTTTGAGTTTGACTGCGACGGCTTTGCCTGGAAAGGCTGGGTCCTCTGGCCAAGCAACAGAACAATCATATGATGATGATACGTATCTCGTGCTGATGAACATTGAAGCGCCTGCGTGTTTATTCGAATGTTTCCTGCACCCGCTGCAATCAAAAAGCCCTGAAGACCAGAACGGGGAGGGTGATCTGAAACGTGTCTTTCTCGTAAACCCTGCAAACGAACGAACGCTGCCTGTGACAACTCAATAACAATATGCCTTGCAATCTTCCGACTTGGACGACAGAAGTGCAGCTGTAGGAGATGACCTGCTTGCTTGTGCCAGCTCGTGCCGCGTAAGAGAAATAGAGGACATAAACAAACAGATGGCTGCACACGACTGCAGGAACGGACACAAGACCATACACACGTCACTGTACTGTTTCTGGTCGCTATCGTATCCCTCCAGCATGGGCGGAAATGACTCTCGGCCCCGACAGGCGCTCAGGAGGCCCAAAGATTCCCCCAAGAGCCCCCAAAAGGTCCTAAGGAAACCCGAAGAGGCTCCCAGAGGCTCCCAAGAGGCCCCCGAGAGGCTCCCAATACTCCCCAGAATTCCTCTCCAGAGGCCCGCGAGAGCCTTCCGGTGAGACCCCCAGGAAGCATCCCTCTGGCCCACGTCAGCGTCGTCGTCGTCACCGCCGCCGCCGTTGTCGTCGTCGTCCCGCTTCAAGGCCGGCGGCACCGGCCGCAAGGCCTTCGTGACATAGCGCGCCCGCGTCCGACAGGCCAACATCCTTCGCAAATGCAGCAAGATCGCGCTCCCAAGGCGACGACCTCGCGTAAAAAAACTAGGCGCCCGCGCTCCACGGGCAAAGACCCGTAGAACAAGTAAAAATGGCTACGCCCGGCCACGATCCTTCGTAAAGCAACAAATGGGTCTGCGCCCCCTGGGGCCACGCCCGCTCAAAAAAAGTATGGATCCGCACTCGGGCAGCCACGACTCCTTGCAAAATGTGATGGTTCTGAGCGCGAAGCCACGACACCCGTGAAACACGCCCCTGGCTCTCTGCTTATTGATCTCTTTCCTATCTAAACGACCCCGCCAACAAACCAATCAATCATTCATCCAACTGGCAAGCCAGACTGTTAGACAGCCAGCCAGCCAATCAACCAACAAGCATCTTCACTAAACATGATGAGTTCCATTCTGCCAACACATCAGCGAACCAACCAACCCGAGCAACTCAACCAACCAAGCCAGCCGTGCAGGCAATCAAAAAGAGGGGCCACTGGCAGCGGGCGAAGCCCTTCAGCTGAGTTGCAAGCGGCCCAACGAACCAGCATACACGCTAAATGCACCATCGTTACCACCCGCGTCGTATGATATGATCAAGGCACTGCGGAATGGAGATGCGTGGTACCCGAGCGCAGCGTGAGCCTTATGATGATCAACGAAATGCCACGTCTCAATGACAAAGACTTCGGTGAAAATGTGTGGCAAGCGATCAACATGACCTTGAGGCCACCCCGGGCTGACAAACACGGCGTTCTCAAAATGGTTGGGACACGGGCCATCGTCGCATACGCAGAAGTCCCGGACCGCATACAATGCTGCGCGCCACTCGTCATGATAAGTTGGCGATTCCGCATCAGGGCCAAAATCCGCCACCGTGACGCGAGGCGCGAAGTGGAGTGTCCTCATGTCCCCTCAGGCTTCCCCAGAGAGCGCCAAGAGCAACTCCAAGGGAGCCCAGGAGGCCTCCAAGACGCACCCAGGAGGCCCTCAAGAGTCAAGAGGCCTCCGAGAGGCGCCAACGAAGCTTTTCAAGAGGCCTCAAGAGGAATACAAGAGGCTGCCCGTTGTTGCCGACCCAGGCACGGTGGCGGGATGGACCGAAGGTCACTAGATCTGCCGCCCCCTGCGGCTTGCCACAAGGGTGCACGGCCTGCTAGATTTGAGGTAGTGTTTCGTCGTTGATTTAAAGTTCCATGGGCCTTCGGCCGATCGCTTCGTCCACTCAGAAAGACGCATCGAATTACCGTTTCATCGGTCTCCCAACCAGGTAAAGTCTTCGAACATTTCCAGGTCGTCGGTCTTCCTGCTCCAGACGGACCCACCATGGTCTCCCCTCAAGATCGCCCAAGACTGCCCGAGAGGCCTTCAAGACGGCCTACGAGGTCCCCGAGAGGACACCTAGGAATGCCCGAATAGGCAAAAAAAATTGATGTGCCGTATGTATTTCAAGGATTTGTACGTTTGCTCATTTGGGGCGCTCCGACGGCCCAAGACGGCCCCAGAGGCCACCAAAATGACACCAAAAGTGCATTAGAGGCCTCCGAGATGGCCCCCTGACGGCCCAAGAAGCCCCCAAGACGGCCCTGCGAGGGCCCCAGGACGACCCCAAAAACCTCCAAGGCGCCTAAGATGGCCTCCGAGATGGCCCTGAAACGCCCCAAGTCGGCCCGGAGAGGTCCCCAAGACGACTTCAATCGGCGTCAGACAGGCCAGGACTGCCTCCCAAAGAGCCTCCAAATGCCACCACGAGGCCTCCAAGAGGCCAAGAGGCATCCAAGAGGCCCCCAGGAAGTTCCCAGGAGGCCCAACGAGTGCCCCAAGAGGCCTCCTCCTCCTCCTCCGCCTCCTCCTCCTCCTCCTCCTCCGCCTCCGCCTCCGCCTCCGCCTCCTCCCTTTATCCTACCTCTCCTCCTCGTACCCTTTCTCCCCCACGTGTTCCCCGAAGGGTCTCCACAACGACTGGCATAACGTGCGATCGTCGGCCATGCTCTGGCCGAACCATTCGGCCACATAGGCGATTGCAAACGTAGGCGTCTTCGATCCGCCGCCCCATGTGGCTCGCCACAAGGATGCACGACGTGCTGAACTTTAGGCAAGCATTGGTCATAAACAAAAGCCCCCGGGGCGTTCGGCGTAATGCGCCGGCCGCCCAGGAAGCAGCGTAAAAACGTTTCTCATTGCTCAAGTCGCCTCCAAGACTGCCAACATTGCCCTCAATGACCTTTAACAAGCCTCCGAGGCGGCCAAGATAGCGAAACTGGTGTGGGAGTTCCCTGGACCCCCCCAGGACCTCCCCGCAAAACCGCCGATTTTGTTCCCAACCATCCTGTGGTGTTGGGTCCTCGTTTTGAAGAGACAGCGCCCCGCGTCCCACCTTCTCCTCCTCCTCTCCTCCGTGCTGCCGTCCGCATGCGTCCAGCACACCCATTTCGGCACACCCCTCACACGCTTCGTGGCCCCATAGGGAGCTCCACCGAAGGCCCCATGGCTGCCGTCCGCATGCGTCCCGCACACCCATTTCGGCACACCCCTCACACGTTTCGTGGCCCCACAGGGAGCTCCACCGAAGGCCCCAGTGCTGCCGTCCGCATGCGTCCCGCACACCCATTTCGGCACACCCCTCACACGTTTCGTGGCCCCATAGGGAGCTCCACCGAAGGCCCCAGGCTGCCGTCCGCATGCGTCCCGCACACCCATTTCGGCACACCCCTCACACGTTTCGTGGCCCCACAGGGAGCTCCACCGAAGGCCCCAGTGCTGCCGTCCGCATGCGTCCCGCACACCCATTTCGGCACACCCCTCACACGTTTCGTGGCCCCATAGGGAGCTCCACCGAAGGCCCCATGGCTGCCGTCCGCATGCGTCCCGCACACCCATTTCGGCACACCCCTCACACGTTTCGTGGCCCCACAGGGAGCTCCACCGAAGGCCCCAGTGCTGCCGTCCGCATGCGTCCCGCACACCCATTTCGGCACACCCCTCACACGTTTCGTGGCCCCATAGGGAGCTCCACCGAAGGCCCCATGGCTGCCGTCCGCATGCGTCCCGCACACCCATTTCGGCACACCCCTCACACGTTTCGTGGCCCCACAGGGAGCTCCACCGAAGGCCCCAGTGCTGCCGTCCGCATGCGTCCCGCACACCCATTTCGGCACACCCCTCACACGTTTCGTGGCCCCATAGGGAGCTCCACCGAAGGCCCCATGGCTGCCGTCCGCATGCGTCCCGCACACCCATTTCGGCACACCCCTCACACGTTTCGTGGCCCCATAGCTCCACCGAAGGTGGCCCCAGTCCACCGAAGGCTGCTGCCGTCCGCATGCGTCCCGCACACCCATTTCGGCACACCCCTCACACGTTTCGTGGCCCCATAGGGAGCTCCACCGAAGGCCCCATGGCTGCCGTCCGCATGCGTCCCGCACACCCATTTCGGCACACCCCTCACACGTTTCGTGGCCCCACAGGGAGCTCCACCGAAGGCCCCAGTGCTGCCGTCCGCATGCGTCCCGCACACCAGGTGTGTGGCGTGCCGACATGGGCGTCGCGGCGCGCGGGCGCTGCCGTCGGGGTTCCCAGGGAAGCCCCCTGCAGAGGCGACGCTCAGAGTCACGAGTACCGAGAGTCACGCAGACCCAAACTGTTCACAGTCGTATACATACATTTACACTGGGCGTATCCATGCACGCATTCATGCGAATAGAATCGATCGCGCGCAGATTCATTCATAATCAGACTCGCTCGCGATCCGACTCGCACGCGCTCAAGCTTTCATATTCGGACCTATCGTCTTCGTTCGTGTTGTGTACACTGCCACGCATTTCGGCACACCCCTCATACGGCTCGTGGCCCCGTAGGGAGCGCCACCGAAGAAGATATTCACAATTGCGGTACTCTCAACTGCATATGGTTGGGTCCTTCGCCAGGCTAATGTGTTTCCCAACCATCCTGTGGTGTTGGGTCCTCGTTTTGAAGAAACGGTCCCCGCGTTCTCCGCTTCTGCTCGTGCCCCCCCTCTCCTCCTACCGTCCGCATGCGTCCCGCACACCCAGTACAGCGCTTCGTGGCCCCATAAGGAGCTCCACCGAAGGTCCCAGTGCTTCCGTCCGCATGCGTCCTGCCACGCACACCCACTACAGCGTTTCTCCCCCTCCTCCCTGCGTTTCACCCACCCAGTACAGCGTGTCGTGGCTCCATAGGGAGCCCCACCGAAGGTCTCAGTGCTACCGTCCGCATGCGTCCCTTACACCCAATCCACCGTTTTGTGACCCCATGGGGAGCTCCACCGAAGGTCCCAATGCTATCGTCCGCATGCGTTCCGCACACCCAGTAGAGCGTTTCGTGGCCCTCCTCCCCCTCCTCCCTGCGTTTCACCCACCCAGTACAGCGTGTCGTGGCTCCATAGGGAGCCCCACCGAAGGTCTCAGTGCTACCGTCCGCATGCGTCCCTTACATCCAATCCACCGCTACGTGACCCCATGGGGAGCTCCACCGAAGGTCCCAATGCTACCGTCCGCATGCGTTCCGCACACCCAGTAGAGCGTTTCGTGGCCCTCCTCCCCCTCCTCCCTGCGTTTCACTTACCCAGTACAGCTTCTCGTGGCCCCATAGGGAGCCCCACCGAAGGTCCCAATGCTACCGTCCGCATGCGCCCCGCACACCCAGTACAGCGCTTCTTGGCCCCATAAGGAGCTCCACAGAAGGTCCCAGTGCTACCGTCCGCATGGTTCCCGCACGCCCAGTATAGCGTTTCGTGGCCCTCCTCCCCCTCCTCCCTGCGTTTCACCCACCCAGTACAACGTTTCGTGGCCCACAAGGAGCCCCACCGAAAGTCCCAGTGCTGCCGTCCGCATGCGTCCCGCACACCTGGTATAGCGTTTCGTGGCCCCATAAGGAGCTGCACCGAAGGTCCCAGTGCTACCGTCCGCATGAGTCCCGCACACACCCAGTACAGCGTTTCGTGGCCATCCTCCCCCTCCTCCCTGCGTTTCACCCACCCAGCGCAACGCTTCGTGGCCCCATAGGGAGCCCCACCGAAGGTCCCAATGCTGCCGTCCGCATGCGCCCCGCACGCCCAGTACAGCGCGTCGTGGCCCCATAGGGAGCTCCACCGAAGGTCCCAATGCTATCGTCCGCATGCGTCCCGCACACCCAGTACGGCGTTTCGTGGCCATCCTCCCCCTCCTCCCTGCGCTTCACCCATCCAGTACAGCGTTTCGTGCCCCCATACGGAGCCCCACTGAAGGTCCCAGTGCCACCGTCCGCCCCGCGCGGACCACCTCGGGACCTCGCGGTGCCCTGGAGGCCGCGATCTGCGCAACAGTCGCCACTTTCGTGCGCTCCTGGGAGGCCCAGCGGAGGTGCGTCCCACGCTGATCACCTCTGGACCTCGCCACCCCCTGGGGGGCTCGCGATCTGCGCAACTGTCGCAACTTTCGCGGCCCAGCGGAGGTGGGTCCCACGCGGATCACCTCGGGACCTCGCCTTCCCCTGGGGGGCTTGCGATCTGTGCAACTGTTGCCACTTTGGTGGGCTCCTGGGAGGCCCAGCGGAGGTGGGTCCCACGCGGATCACCTCGGGACCTCGCCGCCCCCTGGGGGGCTTGCGATCTGCGCCGTTCTCGCCACTTTCGTGGGTTCCTGGGAGGCCCGGCGGAGGTGCGTCCCACGTGGATCACTCGGAAGTACGTCATACGCGTTTATTTCAACGCCCCTGTGTTTCCATGTTGTATATTAGCCGTTCCTCTTCTTGCTATTCTCTTATGAAATCACTGCTGGGTGCTCTTCTTGCGCACTACGGGCCCTCCAGAATGCCAGTCAGCAGTGAGTGGTCCTGAGTATACTCGCCACATGTATAGAAAGGGCTGGGTAC